ATTACGGTACTTTTCCTGGAGTTGGAGTGTTTTTATTGATTTGGTTTTGTTCTGTTTGTTTTGCGCTGTTGATTAACGCGGACGTTAATTCCCAGCAGTGGGGGTAACACGCTATGCGTAGAAAGCGTGTACGTACGTACGTGCTATGACGCACGTGTTGTCTGTTTCGTACCATTTTGCTGTTCTTATCTAACGCATTTGATCACTAATTCCATTAGCGATTCTGATTGCATAGTTAGACTTTGGTCTGCAGAGTTGGAAGAGTCTGAAGACTGTGAAGTTAGCTTTGACTGGAAAGTTGGTGTGACCTTCTGGTAGAAGTGTGTTCTGTTTGTTGATTAAACATTTGGGAAGTTCCTGAGTGTTTGGGTTTCGGTAGCTTTCGTTAGGCACATCCGCAGTACCTAGCGGAAGTAGTTTCGTTGTGTACGACCACTCATCGGAGTCCAGAGTGTATTCCCACTGTACCGACTGTGTATGGTTGGTCATCGAGTACGGTAGTCGGTGCGACTTCCGTATAGCATGTCAGTTTCTTATTAAAGCAGATTGCAGGTGAAACAAGCATATACGTACTCAACTGATCATGCTGGCGCTCATTTGTTTGATGATTAATTCACTTACTGGTCGTAGTGTCTGTGGTTGTCGTTGGGCAGGGTGCGCATGTCGTCGATGGACAAGCTGTGGATGTCGCAACAGTAGATGTCGCAGTTGTAGTGGCTGCGCAGAGGTCGGCTGGGCAGCGCGAACAAGTGTCGGCCAAACAGGGCGGACAAGCTGTGGTCGTAGCAGCTGTTGGTGCTGCGCAGAGGTCGGCAGGGCAACGCGAACACGTGTCTGCCGAGCAGGCCGGGCAGGGACAGCGCGCGCAGGTAGCTGTCGAGCAGGGCGGACAGTTTTCTTCAGTGCAAGGACGAGAGGGCGGGCACGTAAATGGCGCAGTTGAAGGTAAAGCTTTAAGAAATGCGTTGCAATCAGCAGTAGCAGGACAGCAGCGACCTCGCGCTGTCAGACATTAGTTTCGACGGTTAAAAATTTGCAAAACCGAAATAACAAGATTTTTTACTTCAGGCGTGCAAGTGCAAGTGCAGTAATTACGGTAAAATGTATAATTTTATCCATTTTTAGCACCGATTCACCGACATAATTGTATATAAAACTGCATGCAATACGTACTAGTAGTTGAATAGCGAATACAGCGGGTGCCGCTGGAATCCTGGTAGGCCAGCGCATCATCGCACACGCACTGGCGCCGGGCGTTGCAGACAGATGCCGGGTCCGCGCAGCGCTGGCCGATCCCGGCGCACGGGCACTGCAGACCCGCCGCGGAGGTCATGCCCTTGCAGGCCTCGACGAATGCCACATCCGCCGGACTTCCGTTATCGGCCATTTTCCTAGGCAATGCTGGCACTTGTACCTGCTCATTGATGGGGGTAACCGTGGTGGTTTGCAGGGCCAACGGGAGGCTCTGGCGGTCCAGCCAGGTGAATTTTCCCAAAGGTACCACCAGTTGGCATGGTACCGGACTGATAAACCACAACAGCGCAAGGAAGAATAAACTGGAGACATTGACAGACAGTTTGCAGGAACGTCTGCTTAAGGTCATTGGAGCATTAGAAGATGACATTATTAGTGCGGGTATGCCGGGTACAGATTCAGGTATATCAAACAGAAGGTCTGGTTTGCGTTTTACCTCGAAGCCGGCGTTTTATATCTACTGCTCGATGCGGCGCGTTGTGGCCCGCAGCTGTTGCTGTACAGTTTTTTAAGAGGTGGTGAGCAAAAAAAAATTCAAAGAACTTTGCTAAGGCGTAACATTTTCGGGGCTTTGCGTTGCTGCTTGTATGCTGTACTAGTATAAGTATGGACCGTTTACTTGAGTAAGACACCGCAGATACACGTCGCAAAGCGATGATTCGTTGCCGCGCAAAAGATTTAAGGAGGTGTTATAATATGTTTGTGTAAAGGCGGTGCCAGAAACTATAACAAGCCTTCGTGAGATCGAGTGCATTTTTCTTTATATCGCATTTTTAGCGAATTCCACATCATAGTATAATTGAGAATTCTGAGTTATGTATAAACATTTTTAAATTTTGTTCTTTTTGGAATCGCACGATAACCATAGCTACCCACTAACCGGATGTTGCGAGCACAACCCACTTCGGCATTAACTAGCATGAATCATATAGCAGCAGAATGCAATAACCTGCTTCCAAAAACGCCGGCAGAAGCGCGCAGCCTTAACGTCTTAGTGAATAAACTCACGGTACAGAAAGTACTGGCTCAGCTTGTTTAAGCGAGACAATCATCTGTTGTTAAATCCACCAAATAACTTTGACGTGCTCATGATTTTGTATCGGCAGCGCGACATTCTTGATCGAATGCCGCTTAAGACGGCTACAATGAATCAGTGAAAGATGAAACAATTGCAAATTATGTAGGTTGGGCCTGTTAGCAGGGCAGTGAACTACTGTTAATGATAGGAAAGCGCAGTGATGCTTGTCAAGCTTCCGGTTACTTCGCGGCTTATTTTTTCGTTTCCCTGACGATTTTTTGTGCAAATCAAATTCTTTCCACTTTTCACCAGCAATGCTAGTCGCTCGAAGCAGCAAGTTGTCTGCAAGCTTTGTGTAGCTGACAACGCTTGGTGCATCGTTGCCGTTGATGAGCTGATCTGCAGTGATTTACTAGCAAGCGACTGTCTCGCTTAACGGGTGATGTACACCGAATCGGTCATAATGCGGTGGCTTGGGTTCTGCTATAAAAGAACAGGTTTATGGTTACCATTGTGCTTAGCGCATTTGAGCACAAAGGAAAGAAAGAATCTCGTGTATGGTCAAAATCAATACCAAATATAGGGGCAAAAGTAAACGTGTTCCACCGTTCTCCTGTACTGCTGCCGTCACCCGACTGGAGTTTGACGTTGTGGCTGAACATGGCGCTTACGTACCGCGCCAGATTTAACCATATGTATTGCCGTAACGTCACACTCCAGGCGGGTGACGGCAGCAGTACAGGGGAACGGTGGAACGCGTTTACTTTCGCCCCTTATATTAAGAATTAATATATACTATTTTGCCGCCTGTAGGTTGGACGAGTTCATTATTATTATTGTCTAAACGTTATGTAAATGTAGTGTACACTATAATACCGGTATATTATAATACAGAAGGGGGAAAACGGAACGCCTTTAACCGTTTCCCAGTACTGCTGCCTGCGCCGGTCTAAAGGGCTAAGGGGCAACATTTGTGGCTGAATTCGTCACGGTATATAAGCATTAAGCAACCATCATTAGTCAAAACGTCACACTCGAACCGGGTGCGAACTGTGCTCAGAGCTTGTGCTTGTGCTTGCTACTGAATACGAATAATACGAAAATTAAATACGAATAGAGCTTGTACTTGTGCTTGTTATTAGGCCGACCCTCTCGATTGATGTCTAATAAGTGATTGTCTCCCAAGTTACTAACGGTCAAATCAAAGTCAAAGCGAAATACGAAAAACATTGGTTCTGAAAACCTCTACACACTAGTACTAGGGTGTACTGCTTTTCAGTGCGAGTGCTTTTTAGTTTTTGTTGTGCCCCGCACTAGTGCAGGGCGTATTTTTGCCACTTTTGCCTAATCGAAAACAATTCGCAGTAATTCTCCCCTTCCTAATAAAGCACGAAGTACGGTATATACGTACATGGTTTCATTGTGCTTTGAAATGTTCTCGAACTTGTAGTACAACTGGAAACCTTGTAAGTTCGTCAAAAGAACAAAAAATTATTTGGAAACGAGGCTTACGAATGACGGTGGGGTAAGTCTCTCACTGCTGAAGTCAGCCTGAGCTTTTCTACTCACCACTATCAATGCCGCATTCTATGTGTCTGTCCTACTTCCGCCTTGGCAACAACATGCACTCACGCACTGAGTTTCCAGCAAACCAGCACTATCTGTAGAACTACATCGTGTTCTTAATACTTACATTTTTCAGGTCCTTGAATGAAGTGGTTTCTTTGCAAGGATGGTGACGATAACTACCGCGTTCTGCAGCAGTCAGCAACATGCTGTGAATACAGAGGCTGCAAAAGTGCGAAAACACCAGCCAGCAGCTCGTGTCGGAGCCAAAGGCATTTATAGAGGAAATGTACCGGCGATCCAGAAAACCTTGTGCGTGAATATCTGCACCGAGCGCCCGTATTCCCTGCGGTAGTTACAAAAAAAATACAACGAAATGTAGCTTAGTTGCGCACTAAATTTCCCATATGCAGATGCAACTCTTATTCAATTGTTTTCCGGAGACTAAAAAAGCAAAGCAGCACTCAAGGGCTTCGCTCGCTAAGATCCAGACAAGAGCGGCATAACACCGTAATGCAGGATCCGTTTCCTCACAGTGGTTCTGATCATCAGAGCCGAGAGCATTCTGGATGCGAAAAAAATGGCATACGGAGTCGAAATTTGAGGCATTTCTAAGAGCCATAGGAAAGGGAATTTGCTCTTCCATGAGATAGCCTGACTGCCTGGAAAATCAGTCAGACTTTTACAGTACGAACAGTGTTGCGATCCTTCGACTATCTGCAGGAGTGTCTGTTTGGGGAGCATGTCTGAACTACGCTCTGATAGGGATCATCTTCTTTTATTGTACATGTGTCGCCCTGCCAGATTATGTTCCAGGAAACACAGGCCGTCTACACCGTCTTGAATCTCACATCTCCATGCAACACCAACAACGAATTACGGCAGCGGAAATATTTAAGTTTTGGCATCGGAATCTTTATGTCTGTGCGATACTGCATCTGTAGTTCTACAGTATATATGCATGCATTTCACTTCCGAACAATGTGCAGACTATGGTGCTGATTGCGGAATCACTACGAGTACTGCATGCGCAGCCAGATGAGATTCAGTAAAACGCAGTAAAATTAACCTAACCTTTCTTGTGATGATTGCGTCGTTAGGTTTGGTCGTAGCAAAAACCCGGTGACAAATTTATCAAGAAGCTGACCAGTGGTCATTAAGGTGGTCACAGTAATGTTTGCACTAAAATTGCACTCGAAAAATTTCTTCATGACAGCTGTATTGACGTGTGGAGGAGTACGTACGAGGGATTCCACCGTGCATCCACTGACTGTCCGCCTCTACCTGCAAGTACAACCGGAAGTGGTTATCGTTCCATCTAGTCTGTGATTCGTTACTCGTTATGGCTTAGCGATGTATTCTGATGTACGGCATTTCTAGTCTATATAAGCTTGAGTTATTCCTAATATTGGAGCGGTCTCGGATCAGTCTTGGATTTCAGACTTTGAGACTACTTACTTTCAACTTCCCTGTGTTGTGCATATGATTGTGTGTTAGCGGAGTAAAGCATTTTCTGTGTTATCGACGTTCATAATTAGATACGGATTATAGCGTGGTAATCACGGTATGCTCGTGCTTCGTGGACCCTCATGTGTATCGACCGGAAGTTAGGAGTATTCAGCACAATTGCTGAGGGATTCCTGATTTTACGTGTTCCAGAATTATCCATTTCCGTCCGATTTACTGTAACAGTTGATTTAAGAGTTGTTCTACCGACTGGGCATTAAGGCAGGGAGCAGATCTACAATCCGTTTCGTACAGGGCATCCACCGGATATACCGTACCGAACTGACTGTCATTAGCAGGATCGAGCAATACGACATGGCGCCCACCGGGTGTCTCGTAATTTCCCTGATGTTACGGTAAATTACGGATGGAAATTGGATGGTGTTTTGTGAAAAAGTGTTGATGGTCCGAGAAAGGCGTCGAACCGAAAGGTGCGCCGAAGGAGGTCAGCGTTCCTGATCTGGCCTAGGGTTTTTGTTTTAAGCGAGCTTCCTCGCTAAATTGGTGTGCTTCCACACCGGGTTGAGCTTCCTCGCCCAGTAAATTTAATAATTGTATTGCATTCGGACCGAAACTGTGCAGTAATAACTAGTAGTCGAAACCTTAAAGGTCGGCTACAGTGCTTTTTGCGGAAAGCAGAAAGTGGGTAATTTCCGGGTTGTCTGCGCAAAGCAGTGACCGCGGAGAATAAAGTGTAATTGCAGTGTCAGTGTGCCTGGCCTGTAGTAAGCAGTAGCTGTAGATATAATCAGGGCTAAAGCCATAGTAATTGGCCAGCCTAGATAAAATCTTCAGCGGAGCAGAACAAAAGGCGCCAAATCGGTAGCCAGATCAGCAGCTAGCGGTAGCTGGCAGCTAAAACGTAAACAAACCAGGTAGTCGGTGACTGACCTGCAGCAGTAAGAAATTAAGTAAAGTTTAAACTGTGGTAGAGATCGCAAAGATTTCCCACAGCATAGGGAATTATCCTGCATACCGTTTCAAACCTAAAAGGAGAATCGGGAGCGGATATAAGGCGGCAAAAGTGCTGCTGTATTTCTGGCACAATCGCCGGAAATAAAATAAGTAATAAGTAGTAGTTTACTTGGGTAGATTAACCGCAAAGGTTAACGACCAGTAAAGCTACATCATGGCAGATTCAGGGAAGAAAAGTTCGAGGGCGATCACAAAGATTGACCCGAACATTCTTGCACTGTATAAAGGCGCATACGATGCGTCACAGCAGAAAAGGTTCAAGTTTAATGCGGAAGAAATCTCCTTGGAACTGTTGTATCGGGAACTAGGCATTGAAGTGCCCGATGTAATGTATTGCGGGAAACTCTGGACAAAATACCAAGAGGACCCACAACAGCCACAGTTCCAAAAGAGACGTCCTAATTATTACCCAAATTGGCTTACGACAGACCGGTGCATTCCGGAACCGTACATAAAAGAATATGTGTCGGATGAGCAGTTTAAAGCGGCAGTCGCCCGTGCACGTGAGAAAATGCCTGAATTTTTGAAAGAAATTGAGGCAAGGAAACAAACAGAGGCTGCGGCGCAGCGCAAAGTTACGCCACAGGAAACGGAAAGACAAACCCGATCCGCACAGGAAAAGGTCGTCACAACAGTTGTGAATCAGGAAGAGAAGTCGGCACCAAAAGAGGCGCCCTCTCAGCCTGAGAATTTAAACGAGCCTATATCGGCCGGAAGTCTCATTGACTTCAATGCAGCCATGATGGAAACGGAAGACGATTACTCGTCTAATTACGAGTCACCAACCAGTAGGTTGGAGGATAAATCAGACTTACCTAAAATGAAAATGATTCGCACAGGTAATTCCACTTTCCATGCATCCCAGTTGGGATTGCAGCAGTACATAACGGATAAGGATTTCGAATTCTCTGACGAAGAATTCATGGAACAGGCCGCCAGCGTTGATGATAGGTTGGCCACGGCAGTCACAGAAAAAGATTTGGAAAAGATCACACGTGAGTCACTCCCGTTCCTATTCCGAGGAATACGGAGAATAGTGGCACAGTCAAAAGCAAAACTGGACTCCATTGGTGAATCAAAACGCATGGATCAGCTCCTGCAGGAGGAGAGGAATAATAAATTAAAATTTCAAAATGAATTTAACGAAATGCGGAAAAAGTGCGAAACAGTTAGTAAAGAGCGGGATACGGCCCTTTACCGGAATAAAGCACTCAACGAAAGTATCTTAAACTATCGACAAAAATCGGAAGAAGATAAAAGGGAATACGAAAATTACTGGATGAACTTAACCAGTTAAAGGATGATAATCGCAATCTGGAAAATGCCACAGAAGAGCTCCGACGGGAGTATGAAGCATTGAAAGCATCCCGGCAGTCAAATGTTAATCAGCAGGCTGACGCCGACCTGCAGAAACAGAATCATAGATTAGCGGAACAGGCAAATACGTTGCGTAGAGAATTACAGCAACAGAGAGATGCCTACGTGGAGCTACAGAAAAGAAGTAGTTCAGAGTATAATGAACTGGAAAAGTTGCGGAAGCAGTTGGTAGAAGAACAAAAAAGAATTAATCCGAATGCCGATTATGTAGCACAGTTACAGGAAGAACTGGCTACGGTAAAATCCCAGAATGAATTATATTTACAATCGACTAGAGCAGCAACCTCGGCCGTCTCTAAAAATAGGGAAGAAACGTTGCTGTCTACAATTGAACAGTATAAAGTTGAACTGGCCAATGAAAAGGCAGAAAGTGAAAAATTAAAGAAGGAACGTCGGCTGGATAAACCGTGTAATAAATGCTCAGAGTTGGAAAAAGAAGTAAAAGAAGCACAAGCTGTTGCTTACCTGCGCCAAACGGAAGCGGATCGTCTTCGAGCGGAAGGTGATCAATGTCGAGTCGCCATATATAATCTGCAACAGCATTTGCACAACAATGAAGCAGCTTACGCAGAATTGCAGGAGGAAGTGCAACATTACCGGAATCAGGCACAGCATCCGGCCCGAGAAGTTCACTTTGAACCGGAAGCACCAGTGAGCACGGGAGACACAGTTGCTCCGCCCGGAAATGATCGCTACGATCATCAGACATTCACCCCTTCTGATCCAAATTCGTCACATACACAACGGGAAGCGAGTGCAGCTCCGTCGCTGAAGCCGGTAATCCGTCAGGATAAGGCAGCAGAAAGGCCTGAAATAAAAGACAATTTTATTAAGTTAAAGAAAACATCAAAACCGGGATTACGGAAGGAAGTGTTGCAGAAGCACACTATCGAAACAGAACAGAAGAAGAAGAAAAATAGCCGTAAGATTGAATCGGATGAGGAAACAGAACGTGATGACGATAGCGAGGATGATGAACAAAGCGGTCCGCCCAGTGCGACGGGATCGACGTCGTCTCGATCGTCCCACAGAATTATCCTCCAGGATCCTCGGGAAGTACGACAATCAGAGCGCGACGATAAAATCGCGGATATTCTGGAGAGGTTAACGGAAAGGGGTACAGAGAGGAATGAGTCCGGGATGAAGCTTCAGAATTTCGATGACACCCGGCCTGAGCGTATCCAGCAGTGGGTGATTTCCGTCGATCAGTGTCGTACCACAAACGGCTGGAACGATAAACAGACTTGTCGAGCGATTTCCGGTGCACTAAAGGGACCGTCTTATGTTTGGTTCGCTGATCTCTATAAAGACAATAAGACAAAGACATGGTCAGAATTCTTCAAACCGGCCATAATTAAGCATTTTAATGGTGCATCGTCTAAAGCGGAAATGAGAAGAGCAATGAACAATCGTCATTGCCAGCGGGATGAAGCTGTACGCACGTATATGGACAGTTTCTTAATATGGTTTAAGGAACTAAAAGTTCAAGAAGAAGAAAAAGTGGAAATTCTCCTGGAAGGTTTGAAAAAGAACAGGAAAGAGTGGTATCGAACCATCTACAGGGATCGACCGGAAACGTATGCCGAGTTCGAAGCACAGCTTCAGGACTGTGAGAAACTGCAAAAGATTTTGGATGACGAACGGAAGGAAGATGAGCCGCGTCAGCGCGTAACAATTCGAGAGCCGCGGAGTGCGGGCAGTAACGTTGAAGCGGAAAATCGCACCAGTCGCGGTGAATACCAGCCACGAGGAAATTACTATTCGTCACGAGGGAATCGCGGGAGCTTTTATAATAACCGCGGAGGATATTCCAGGCCGTACTACGGCTCTGGCAATTATCAGAATGTACAGACCGGAAGTCAGACGCCGCCACCGCCGGCGCCGGCGCAGCCTATTTCTGTACCGAATGTACCTCAGCAACAAGTACAGTACATACCGTATCCGGTATATCAGCAGCCGCAAGTGATGGAGATGCAGCCAGTGCAGTACGCCCAGGCATTTCCTCCGCCGCCGATAATCCAGCCTCAGATACAGCCGCAGATGCAGGCTCCGGCGCCGCCGCCCGTGCAGCAAGTACAGCAGCCGCTTCCGCCGATGCAGAATTTTCAGAATTTCCGGCCAAACGGACCTGCAAATAATAATAATTATAACCAGGGTAACTTCCGGCCGAATAATTACGGTTATAATAATCGTAATAATAATAATTTTCATCGGGGTGGAAATAATAATAATTATCGCCCACAGAATAATAATAATAACTTCCGTCCGCAGTATAATAATAATAATAATAATCGGCAAAACACGCCAGTGCCTAATCAAGGGGAAGAAATTCCGTTCGATGAGAGAAATGTTGTTAGGGAAAAATGGGCAACCACACGGGGCATTGAGATTTGCTACCGTTGTCACGGAATACATACGGCAAACTCGTGCAGAAACCCGTTAGCACTACCCAGGTTGTACGAGCCAACTCCGGAAATTCTAAATAGGGCAAACGGCCTCCAAATAAATATGATGGACCTTGATCTACCTGCGGGACTGGAAATCCCTCCGATCCAGTGTAATTCGGCAGAAGTAGTGGACATTGATCAGTACCCGCTAGCTGATCATGTATGCTTGATGCCGACACTTGACGCACAGGCTTGGTACTCTGTAATTGATGTAAATTACAGAAAAGTCAAAACTATGATAGATACCGGCTCGAGCATTTCTGTAATGTCCTATAAAATGGCGAAGGATATGAATTTAAAAATTCACCGGTGTCCGGATCACATTCAGGGAAGAGTGGTGCACACGGCGTATCAAGGGCGCCAAGTAATTGAGCCGATGTCGGTGGTAGTCACCATACACGAGTTCGGAACAGCGTTTGAACACGCCTTACTGGTCAGCACCATGTTTGATCGGGATCACATTGTGCTCGGTCTTGATTTCCTAGCGACAAAGCCGTTCATTCTGGATATGAGCACGATGACTTGGAGACTCTCACGTCGTCATCCCACTGCACCGGATTGGTATCCGCGCCGAATGCATCATATGGCGGACATCATACGGTCACATCATTTTGACCCATTGCTGCCGCCAGGAGTTAAGCAGTCGCCGTCGATACCGGCGCTGATGTTGACTGAAAGAATAGGTGTAGCAAAAGAAGCTCAGTTTGTACCATATGAATCAGCTCACCTGATACTTGCAAAAGCGAAACCGGAAATATGCCTTATGCATTTACAACGGGCAAAAGAAGAGTGGCCGCGCCCTACAAAACTGGAGAATCCAGTACGTACGGTTGTGTCGACGCCGTCGCCGGCACCGAAGCCATTGTTGCCGGGCTCAGACAAACGTGACAAAGAATTCCTGGAGGAAGCTGTACATGAAGCAGTAAAGGGCTATGTAAAGCCAAAGCAACAAAAGAAAACAGAAGTTGTACCGACAATGGAAGTAACCTCCGGTCCAAGTCAAGTTTGTGGGGGAGGTGGTGTGCCACAGCAAAACTTCCAGGAGGAACGAATTAGAAAGGAAAGTGAACAGTTTCCGCTACCGTCACGGTGCGTGAATAATCCAAATGAAACGGCAATTAAAGGTGGACGATGTCTTGCAATAGATCCCAGTCAAGTTTGTGGGGGTGACAATAAACCTCCGGTAAAATCACTTTCCACATTGGCAGCATTATTGAGAATGGTACCGGATGAACAGTACACATTCGCCGGGTTTCCTAAAAAATCAAATAAAACAGTTGAATGCGTAGTTTTTAGTACAAAGGTGCTAAATGTTGTACCGATTGACTTCAATCACCAGCACGTTGACGAAGTGCACGAACGGGAATACCCGCACCGCTTGGCGCGAAATCCAGAATTGATGAAATGGATGATGCCGTTAACCCGGCCGCAGGACAAGGACAGATTCCCGACGGAAAAGGAATTCAGAGATGTTGAGTTCTGGAAAAAAGAGCAGCAGAATTGTATGGATAGCCGGATGTGGCTGAAGTTTCTAAATAACCCGCAAAATGCGAATACGAATTACTTGAAGAATGAATTAAACCGGATGCTTACGTTTGAAGGCTTGATTTGCCGCGTCCCTGATCATGACGGGCAGTGCCCACGCATATATGTCCCATTTCAGTGGCGGGACAAGTTAATAGCTAAATTTCACGAAATATTGATACATAATCAAGTATATGGGCCACGTGAAAAATTATACCCGTATCTTGTAAAAATGTTTTACTGGCCGGATATCATCATCCAGATTGAAGAGTATGAAAAAGAGTGTGAAGTATGCCGTAATTCAGTTAATTTCCGGCAGCAGTTTACAATTACTCACCGGAAGGAACGGTTAGCTGAGCCAGAAAAGAAGAGAGTTACATTCTCACCGGAAAATCCCGCTCCGGCAGGTGACTTCGAAAACGGAAGGTTTATTCCAGAACCGAGTATGTCGCCAATTGACATGGGACATGTACCAGTCTCCTACGAGGATAGACAGGCGGAGAAGCAGCAATTTACGCGAGATCAAGCGCTATCGAAATTACCGTACGGTCTTGACGTTTCCAAAGTACGGCGCAGACCACAGACACATCCGAATGATACGGTGGTGTATTCAGGCGCAACGCAGGACCCGTCAGTGGCATATCATGGACAGAGAAAAAGAATCCCAGATTTCTGTAACCCGGATGTCCAGTTAAACCAGGTCGCAGTGGCGGATGTCAGTATCGAGGAACAGCACCGGTTATGGAATCAGATTCAACAAAATAACGAGGTTATCCCTCCTCCAGAACAATTTGCAGATAATCCGGTATACGGAAACACAGGAACTTTCGGAATACAACCGGAAGATACGGGGTATATGCCTGCAAGAAGAAGGAAATCAGGTGCGAGCCGCCGGTGGAAACGGCAGCTATTACAACAGCAAACAGTAGCGCAGATGGCTATGGAAAGCCAGCCGCCACAGAGAGTGGCACACAGTTTGCCCAAGAGATCACAGGACGCGAGGGAATCGGTGGAAATTCCGGCGTGTGTATATACGCGCGACGGTATCGAGTTAGCCTATCGTGAAGCGCATCTGCAACAAGCGGAAATGAATATGACTGAGCACAATATGTACCAGCCCGAATTAATGCAAGATACACGGGAAATGATGCAGGAAATGTTTCCCTCTGACCTTGATGAAATTTATAATGTACAGCCGGAAGTCGGCCCGATAGAATTCTTCAAGATGGAATTATTTCCGGTCCAACCAGTGGTAATTCAACCGCACAGTCAGGGAATTATCCGTGCAACAACAGAACTGTCACCGGAAAGTCTGCACCGATTTAACAGGGCAAACCTGCAAGAGAAGCCGTATCTGTATGAAGGCAAAATCCCAGAAAATAACAAGAATGCCTTGTTGTTTGATGGCGTTGTTTCGCTGAATGATAAAGGAAACTGTCGACTTTGTGTTATGAACGTTTCCGATCAGCAGTTAATTTTGAATAAAGATACTAACCTGGGTAGTATCGTTGCCGTAGAGGAAGTGTACCAAATGAATACCCCAGAGTACAACGAAAATTATCATGACGAGTTCTGCCGTATATCACGAGATAATAATGGACTTCCTGTGCAGGATAAACGCTGTGAATGTCGGGCGATGCAGGCACAAAGTCCACTGTTTGATAATGCGGTTGACGCTGAAACAGAGGAAACATTTTCCAAAATTAAAGTTGGGGACATTTGCCCAGATAAACAGGCATTGAAGAAAATATTTTACAAGGCCAAGGCGGTATTACCTACCAAGGCACGGCCAGTAGGATGTTGCACCATTTACGAACACTCGGTAGACACCGGAAATAGCGCACCGGTGCGGACGCCGCCGTACAGGACGTCCTTCGAGGACCGGAAATGGCTGCAAGCAAAAACACAGGAAATGGTTAAGGACGGTATCATCGAGCCGACTAATTCGGCGTGGGGAAGCCCCATATGCATCGTAAAGAAAAAAGATAAGTCGCGCCGACTTACCGTTGACTTTCGAAAGCTTAACGAGCGCCTGCTAGGCAGCTCGTATCCGTTACCGCGTGTCGATGATATCCTCAATGCGCTTGACAAGGCGAAGGTATTTTCGAAGATAGACCTGAAGTCTGGCTTCTGGCAAATAAAGATTAAACCAGAAGACCGTCCTAAAACAACGATGGTAGGCGAGGAATTTACATTTCAATACAAAGTATTACCTTTCGGGATGAAGGACGCGCCTTCCGCTTTCCAACGTGCCATGGATTTGACGTTAGCCAATATGAAATGGCGTAACGTGTTAGTATTTATTGATGACATTATTGTATTTTCAAAGAATCTTCAAGATCACATGAAGGATCTTGAAGAATTATTCCTTCGTCTTCAGGAATGCGGCTGGACAATTAGCCCAGAAAAAACGGAGCTTTTTGTAAATACGATAACGTTTTTGGGACATACTGTTGATGAACACGGCATTAGTACAGACCCTGAGAAAATACAGGCTGTACGTGATTTCGGCCCGATTAAAGACAAAAAGGACATACTTCGATTTTTGGGAATGGTAGGTTACTACCGCCAGTTTATTAAGAATTTTCAGGAGAAGGCAGAGCCATTACAAAGGTTGATACCGAAAAAGGTAGATTTCGAGTGGGGTGAAGAGCAAATTAGAGCGGTTGAGGAGCTAAAAGATGCACTTACTTCGGCTCCAGTATTGGCCCGTTATGACCCGGAAGCGGTGTCACGTGTTGTTGTCGACGCGAGCACTATTGCCGTCGGCGCCGTGCTGATGCAGTGCCCTAAAGGACAGAAAACAGAGGTACCAGCAAACTGGAGGCCAATCGCATATTTAAGCCGAAAGTTAACCGAAACTCAGAAGAGATTATATTTTCCAACTGAGTTAGAGGCGTACGCCTTAATCTGTGCGTTAAAAAAGTGGCGGCACTATCTCTCCGACTACTTGTTCGAGGTCCAGATCGACCACCAAGCGCTGGTTTTTCTTCATAATATGCGGGACGCCGCAGGCCGTCTTGGACGCTGGGCCCTTTACGTACAGCAATTCAACACGAAACCTGTGCATATACCTGGGAAGGAGAACGTCATAGCAGATGCACTCAGTCGTAATCCAGGGGATCAACCCGAGCCAACATCCGACGAGTCTGACATCGAGTTTGATTACCGGCAAACGTATCCATTCACTGGCGATGCCGCCATGATTGAGTTGTGTCATAAGGTACTTGAACGGGATTACTTGGATCATTACATGGAAATGACTGCGATGTCCATGGAATTGAAAGTGATAAACAAACATGATGAAGAAGCGTTCGATGCTAATAAAATACAGAAATTAGTACAGGATGAAAAAGCGGCATACTGGGCAGAGGAACAGTCACGGGATAAAACCATTTGCAGGTGGAAATTATTATTAGAGAATAATAAGGAGAAAATGTCTGCGCATGAGCGGTTACATTTGAATAAATTCGTAGTACGCCAGGGCGTTGTGTATTACAAATTCGAACTAAACAAGAAGATATATTACTGCATGTATGTACCTTTGCATCGGCGTTTCGAATTCCTTCGGGATAACCACGACTCTCCATTAGCAGCTCACCTAGGAGTACTGGCAACCTATAAAAGAATTTATAAGTACTTCTACTGGCCGAAAATGTTTGAAGCAGTGAGACAGTACTGTGCTTCGTGTCCGGCATGTCTGGCGCAGAATACACCGGCAACGGCACCGGCGGGGCAGTTGCAGACGAATCCCACGGTTCCTCCAAGAATGGTCTGGGCGATCGATGTTGCTCCAGCACTTCCGCCAACCGAATCTGGAAACAAAAACATAATTATTGCGGTAGATTACGGGAGCAAGTACGTAGTGGCGGAGGCAGTAGAAAGAAATGATGCGGCCACTTTGGCGCTGTTCTTTTACCGGCGTATTTTAACAGTATTTGGTATGCCAGCGCACATCACTTCCGATCGTGGTAGCAACTTCATGTCTGAGCTTTTTCGGGAATTGTTAGCACTTTCAGGCGTCGCTCACGCACCCACGGCGTCAGGACATCAACAGGGGAATGGCCTTGTTGAGAAAAGAGTAGGCGAGATAAAACGGGCATTGGCCAAATATGTTAATGAGAAACAGAACGACTGGGATGTCTTTCTGCCCGCACTTACTGCAGCCTTCAACGCTAAAGTGGTCGAACGGACGCAGCATTCTCCATTTTTCCTGATGTACGGACAGGAAATGAGGCTCCCGATGGCTAATTTCCTTCCACTCGATGAAGATTATGTGGTTCCTGCACACGTATATGTGCAACAGATGCAGAGAGGATTGGGTGAAGCATTAGAGATGGTTAATGCAGAGGAGTTCAGGCATAAACTAAAAGATAAAATACGGTATGATGCTAATACATCGGAAGTAAAATATAATGCGGGTGACCATGTATTGGTATACGTATTACACCGGAAATTGGGTAAAAATCCGAGTCTCAGCCCTAAATGGACCGCAGGCTGGGAAGTGGTTAGGCAAAGTAGCCCCGTGCACTATGTAGTTAAGAGTAACAAAAAGGGAAATGTTAAATTAGACACAGTGCATGTGTCCAGGCTAAAGCCTTACTGTTTTCGGGATGTGGACGTCATCCTTGCTGATGAGCAGCCGCTGAAGCTCCTTTCTTGTTTTGAAAAAGAGAGCCCAGATGTGGTAGACGAAGTGCCGGCTCCGCCGCCCGTCCTACCGACACCGGATATGGCGACATCGCCACTGGATCGTGAATACGCGGAGTTTTTGGACAAACAAGAAATGGCCCCGGTTGTACGCACAAAGTCTGGACGTGTCAGTAAACCAGTGGTAAAATTCGCGGTTGAGCATTCTAAAAGAAAAAGGGATCAGAGTACCGGTAGACCGGCTGATACTACTTCGGCAGACAAATTAGCCGATGTCCCGAATGTATCCCAGTATATGACGGTATCGGCAGAAAGACAAGTACCACAGAAGCGAATAAAAATTGAACCAATATTTCCACCATCGATACCTATGCCAGAGACGAAAATAATTTATCCAGAACACGACATGGCCCCTACCGACAAGATAGCAAAAGTAACTGTAAAACCGGAGATATTTTGCGGTATTTTCGAAACGGAAGTCAATGCAATGGTAAGTCAACAGAAAAGTAACATACCGGTACACGACATGGTCCCACCTGAAATACCAGATTGGGCGAAGCCCACGGAGAAATTTTGGCCCGTTGGTGTTGTAAATGATGACATTATGGAGCGTCCGGAATTCTGGCGTTTCCGGCAATCCGAATGTGCAGATATACAAATGTGGAAGGCGCTGGTAGATGGCGTACTTGTGGATAACTCCCGGTATGTACAGCAGCATTTACCTAAAATAATAAATAAGAATGGGTACATCTGCTATGTAGACAGTTCACCGGAAAAAGTGCACAGAATTTTGGTACCTCACCAATGGCGCACTCTGTTGTTGGAATCTGTACATTGGCGCCTTAAACACAAATATTTTAGTAATGTGCGCGTACTGGATTATATACTGTATGAATTAAGACTATACTGGCCGGAAGTCGAACGCGACGTATTGTCTTATGAAGATGATTGTGTACACTGCTGGTCCAAAGGAAACCACCGGAAATAAGCAAAATAAATAAGCAGGTACATGGTACCTTGTAAATGTTGTACATATGATTTGATATTTTAACTTCCGTTAGGTTTCAATGGTTTTACATGTATATAGTCAAATTATACGCGGTTAACTTGCTATCAGCAGAATCTGGAAGGGTTAAATTGTACGTACTCGTATGAGAATAATTCGTCATTGGTTGGCAGGATTAAGAGAATTAGACAGCGTTCGTTGTCTTCTTATGATGCACGAGATCCGGGTAAAATTTTACAGTCAAAATCTAATTAGTAGGTAGCAGCACACAGTGTTAAAGTTTAAAGGTGCGAATTTTAATTGAGAGCGATTTAACGGCAAATTTTTGCAAGTGTGCTCCCTTCTGACTTACACGTTATCATGGATCCCAATGATCAGCAGATTCCTCCTGAGGATGAGTTAATGGCAGAGGAACTGCCAGATGACGATGCAGAAATGGTAGAGGCGGACGATGAAGGATCAGAGACGGGCACCAGTGACTCTGTTGATGGAGAATCGGACAGTGGTGCATCACCGTCAGACAGCGGACAGGAAACTGAGGAAGATGACTGTCAACTTCCTCCGACTACGAAGGACTACGCACGTGGTGCGGATGGCCGTCCGCATCCATGGTCGATTTGGCGACGGGAAAACGAAGAACCGTATGTTGCCGTCCATCCTGATACGCGAATCTACATTGGCAATAAGTGTCTACAAGCGGGTGGTGTCATGCCAGTGAAACGTTTCAATGAGTACCTGGCTACATTGGATTATGAGCATCCGGCGGATAACTTGATTTGGCAGTTCTTGTGTGCCAGCCCGCATAACACTTCAAAGATTGCTCACCTGGTGTATCAGCTGCGTCGAAACCACGGAGTGGATATCGTGAAGGACCCGTTGTTCACGATTACAGCCGTTGGGTTGGATCCAGGCGAATTGAATGATAAAGGAGCTACGTTGACGTATGGACAAGTCTTGGCGCGCGTGTCGAACCAAGCACAACAGCCACGGAATGAATTTCCGCTCCAGGATGCTGCTGTACGCGAGGATGCCATGCAGCGAGGGACTAAGCGTGGTCATGATGAATAATGCAGAAGGCCGCTTGGCGTGAAATTCCCCATGGGATAGAGCAACCTACGGAATAATAATGATTTTAGTTCTAAAATGAATAGTGATTTGTTGTTTCGTTAAGCCGTTGGACCACGAAAATTATGGAAAACTTTAACTGCACTGTGTGTTCTTAGGTTTTCACTCACAAACCTGTCTGTATCGTTATAGTCGGTGCATCTTCGTTGTGTCCGGTTAGAATAATTGATGAAGTATAAAATAAATGGAAGATGAATGCGAGACTGATCGTGGATTCAGAATCTGAATAAAAGGAATAAAATGCAAATAGAATACCGTAGGGGCAAACGGTAAAACCACAACAAACTGGCAACAAGCCAACCACCCTCGGTAGTGACTGCCTGGGGTACTCAGAGAATTGTGCACGCTGTATCGCGCATAACGCGTAATGCAAAACGGAAGTTTACATTTTATTCTTTTATTTGGAAGTTCTCAAGACTTTTAGATCCTGCGGCTCTTAAACAGTCTAAAACAATTTTAATTAACGCAAACATGACGTCTCCTGTTTCCGACGCTGTGTTTTTGACAAACGAAGTCTACAGCAGGCTTAAAGCCCCACCGAAATGGGACTTTAATGCTTGGTTGTATGCGGATGCGATTCAGATTTGGCGAGAGTCGCCCAGCGGGATTCCGTTACAGAAAGCTCTTGAAAGAGCTATGGAACAGGATCTGGGCCCAGAGAGTGAAGAAGAGAGTCTCCTCACTCGGAATTTTCATCCTGATACTGCGGAACACCAGAAAGATCACTTCTGTAGCTTCGCGCACCGTATGTTGGAAGCACGTGCACACCTACAGCAGCTGCAGCGTGATACGCTCGCCGCGGGCCGTTTCTTCACGAAGGAAGAGGCAGAGAAGTTTGCCCAAGCAATTCACACCTTGGACACCATGCAGCGCGGTGCGGACATGTTTGCGGACGACCGCATCCGAATCTTACTTAAGAAGAAGCTGGAACGCCAGCAGGAGATTTTGGATGCTATGAAGCAGACCGCAGAAGAACAAGAGCAGGCTGAAATAGCCACGATCAGTAAGGCGCATTAGTACTTGTTCAGACATTCAGTCTTATTAAGACGTTCTACAGCTCTAATAGTTAAGAGCGGAGACCTAGTACGGTTTAATGGTTTAAAATAATACTAACTGAATGGTGCATGTATGTAGGCAAACCCTCACCGGAAATGGCACAACAGCAGATGATCCACGCTGCTGCTACGGTGCGGTATTGGCAAGTACATTTGCGTTGGGCAGCGAAGAGAGCTGCAGTCCGCAAGGCATACAAGAATTGCCCCAAGGAACCGAAACAGACGAAGGCACCGGAACTTGAATCAGCTGAGCCAGTGGTGCAGGCGATGCAACTGAAGCCACACGCTGAAGTAGCTCCAGCTGCACAACAACTTCCGCCGAAACCAAGGAAAGTCAAGAAGTTGCACGCCCGTCCCGTCAGCTTGTACAAAAACGCTGAGGAAGTGGATGCAGCAGTAGCAGTTATTCTGAAGCAGCCGGAGGAGAAACAGGATCGTAAACAGCTGCGTTGGCTTATGAAGCAGTATGTTCGCTTGGCTGACAAGTGAATACGGAATTGGATAGTAATAATCGAGATAAACAGAACTTTGGTTTTAAGGTTTAAATCAATTAAACGCTGTGATAATGTGGATCTTTTGTTGTTTAACCGAATGTTAAATATGGCAATATTAAATTCAAAATACTGTAAAACTCGAATTTGAGAAATTGAAGTATACGACGGCAGAACGTTATGCTAAATTGATGGCCGTATATTGGAATTAAACAATTTTTAAGCCACTCTGCCGTAAGCACGACGCTTTAAGAGCAGCGGGTTGCAATCAGCGGTATGACTGCAGTATGGTAGCGGATGACAGCTTCCGGTCGCAGCACTATACATTTCGATGGTGGGAGGCATCAAACTTAAGACTAGGAGAAGGAAATATCGCACAAATTGCTAGGTGTAAAATCGTATTATGTTACGCGGAATATAATGAACCACCTCCAGAAAAGAAAACAGCTGAATTTGGGAAACCTATGGACCTCCGAGCACGTGTCATCCGGTACATTACTGTACTAAAGGTTTTGAACCCGGTGAACTGCACCGCGTCACAGGAACACAAGTTAACTTCATTGGAAGTACGCCGTCGGAGACTTCTAAGCCTCCATTACCACATGAACACTCTAAGAACAGTACAAATTAACGGGAGCGCCTGTGGTGCTTAACTTTTAGGGACTTCCGGTGAAGTTTGTAATGTAACGCGCCGAAGTGTAGCATAGGGGCGCACAAGCATACACAGCTGCCCCTTAGCTTTCAATATTCGTTTTCAGTTTTAAATAGGGAGTCCTCGCCTCCAAATGCGAAATTAAGGTACAAATTTATATTTCAAGTAAAATTTAACCAAAAGGAAGGACAGAGCGGTCGAATTCGGATTTTGAGTAACGTTCAAAAATTAACAGACAGTGGCGAGCTGAACCATTAAAAACTTCCGCTCACGTACTCATTTTCAACGGTGTAACATTCATAATTACAGTTAGTCGTGGATAATTTTGAATTCCGGAAAAGTCGTAGTATTTTAATGACGCGGTCGAACTAATTGTGTTAATTGTGGAATTTTATCGTAAAATGGCTCGTCAAGTGCAGGACGAGGAGAAAGTTCCTCAGTTGGTGCCTGCAGCCAGGCTGCCTCTGAAACAGATGCCTAAACTACAGCGAGTTTTGGAGATTAAGGAATGGTATGCGGAGGCTACGTGGGCAGCGAAACCATACGAACCCGAGCCCAAGCCTGTGCAGAAACCTACAGATGTGGGGGATTTAATGCAACTCTCCGATGATGAAGTTGAAATGGAGGGAACTGGAAAAGACGAACAGGTGATTCCGTCCTCCATCCCAGTTAAATTTCCGCTGCCTGTACCCCTCAGAGTTGAGCAGCGCGCACAACAGTTGGCTGCAGAAGCTCACGATCCGAATGAGGAACCAGACGAAGAAGATCCTCCTATGGGTGTACACAAAGAGACGTTAGCGGAAATTGAGCTTAAGGCTCGATTGGCGCAACAGCGTAGCGGACGCCAGATGATCATCCAGCAACACCAGTTGCCGAACAATCAGCTTTTGCCCAAGTGGCATGTGAAGTACACAGCGCACCTCACTCCAGAGCAGCTGACCAAGCTGACTTACGAGAAGTTCATTCGCATGGCTCGACGCCAGTACTGGGAGGAGTACAATCGGATCTTGTGTGGACGCGGACCGTATTGTGACGCGTGGACTCCGCGCGGTTCTGGTTTAGATTGGATGCCAACTTATAACGGATTCAATTTTGTTTATTATTAAATGGCCCAGGTCTTCACGCCACTATGTACATAATTTTATGGTTTTGTAGATGAATTTATCTTGGTTTCTGTCCTTGGTTTATTCAGTTAATTTCGTTTTATACATTTTAGAGAGAATCTTCCAGATTTTAATTGCTTGGTTGGGATTCAACCAGTAGAGTGATTGCGCTTTCGTTAGAATTTTATCAAAGTATTGAAGTATTATACGGTATGCGGATGTAAATTAAATTTACGGAGTCGTCATGGCAAACGCATTTGGAAATTACAGAACGTAGTGGCTTGCAAACCCCCAGCGTAGGCAACTTGCGAAAATAAGATCTGACTGCCGCGTGAATAGCATACCACGTACACTGAGTTACAGTTTACGACATGGCACCACCTGATGGATCATTAAATTGATTCAACCACTAATTAAAACGGTAGCGTATGGGCTAGCTTGTGACAGTGCTGTCCCACTGGTTCAAGGTTCTAACCCTGCTAAGGAAATGAATTTTGCAATTAGAATTTCATTTTTAACGATTTTTACGCTGAATCAGCTACGAATACAATCATAGTGACACAATTAAAATTTTAAACCAAGAATGCCGTAGTGGCTCAGTGGCTAGTAAGGCGTTACTTAGCATCTAGGCCCCAAGTTCGATTACCACACCGGGAGAATATTTTGTAAAGGAACCTTACTTTTTGTCACCATTACAGGGGAATATTATTGCACTAATTACTGTGCTATTTTTCCCCGGGGAAACACTGATAATTGTAGTAGCGCAGTGGTTAGGAAATTTATCAATGCGCGGGAAGGTCACTAGTTCGATACCCATAACAGGAGACATTTTCTGAAGTGAACCTTAATTTTTCGTTGTTTTTACGTGGGAATATATCTCGTACTAATTTCGACGTTGAAATTTTTAATAGAAATCATGAAAGCCGCAGTGGTCAACTGTACATTGGTTTGAGCATCTTGAGTGAAGGTTGCTAGTTCAATACACCTGTGTGGCAAGAATTTGGTAAATTAATCCTTATTTTTATTCTTCTATGGTTTTAATAGTTGACATGACGTTTACGGGGAATTTTAAAAGTGTTGAAATTATGAATGCCCGTAGTGGCCGAGTCGTAGACTAGTTACCGCAGTATTTCCAGATCACGTGATCTAACCTCCTGCGAGGACGAGATTTTGCAAATAAGTTGCCGAATTAATTATAGAAAAACTTCTTTTTGGCTCTTTATTATTTTAATTAATTTTTGATTCACCTAAGAAATTCGGAAACTGCCTTGGTGAATTATGCAGATGGAACTATAGAGCAGAACTACGGCTAAATACGTTACTTAATTTAATTCAACTTCATAACCGGCCGTCAGACTGAATTTGCAGAAGGAATCTATCAACAACAAAATCCTCTGTTAATCTCTTGAAATGCACAGTATAATTAAACAACAAGATCAATTTTTCCGGAGATTATTAACAATTAATCAACAAGCAACAAGTGGGTTTAACAATAATAATTCTGCGGATAACATTGTGTAACAATTATTAACAACGCAAACAATGGGTGATGAGAATGTTGAAATTCACGAAGAATTGAATTCACGGTCTTAATTAAGATCAGATGGAGAACAAAGAGCGGCCTTGATAGAGTCCTTCTCCTTCTCGTGATCTGCCATTCGTTTCTTCAGCTTGGCGATCGAGCGATCTGCGCGAGTAATATTATCGCGCAACGAGTCGGCAATAGCGTTCAGAACCTTGCCTGTCTGAACGCAATCCTTTCGAATGATTTCACTGAATGTTGGACCTTCAGTCTTTGCGCGTGTAGATCGGCGTGGCATTAGGGAAACGCGGTCAGCAGAAGAACAACCAAAGTGCAGCGGACCGGGCTTCGCTTTAATTGTAGGATCTGAGTCCGCGTTGATCATACCCATTGTACCAGCCAGGAAACACGGTTGCTCGTTTCGCGCTTTCTTCACAGCGCCCCCCACGATTTCAGCGGCGTCCGCGCCGATGAAGCCCACGCTGGCGACGGCCAAGTTGCCAAACCCTTTACACCCACCAGCGCAGTCGGTTTGGTGCGCCTGCATACGAACATCTGCAACACATTTAAAAATTAAAATTAGGATAATGATGTGCTGATTAGCAAAATGGCGGGTGAATTAATGCGTCAGTAAATATGAAAATTGCACGGACTCATATATTAGTAAAGATTGGGTGATTAAATTATTGGATGAAAACTAACAACTCACTTAAAGTACGGCCTAGCTCCGATGATAGCTCTCCGACACGAATCGCTCGTAACTTGTCATCCACGCAGGGATGAATAAACAGCGTCCCATTGCTGGTCCGTACGCATCCTTTCTTTAACATAAACATTAGAGCACGGCGGAAATCACTACGGAAATACTGCAGTTTGACGGCGTACGTCTGTTTCAGCCAGACGAGAAGTTCGATACGCGTCAGCCCGTGCCCAGCTTCCAGCAGAATTCCCGAAATGGCAGCACGTAGACGGTGAGCAGTGTCGATTGTCATCGTTTGTCGTTCACTGCGCAGGCGTTCAGCTTCACGTAACACAAAGCGGCCATCATCATTCAGCTGTTTGAGGAGAAATCCGGTTGACAGAGCGTTTTCGATATACAATTTCACTCGCGGTGTGGTGAAATCCGGGTGAAGAGTACACAGGAAATCCTCCATGGATTTCACATCCACGAGTTCGTCCTTTATGAAGGCATCTAATAACCGAACTTGGACAGCGACTTTCAAAGCGTCGTCACGTCGGATTTTCTTCGTTTCTTCAAGATCCAGCGGGGCGTCCATCATGCCTTTGAGATCTTTGCAGAGACGGCGCGATCCTTGCTGATCTCCAGGGACAGGAGCTCCTAAGCAATACATTGCGCTGATATAAATAGGATAAATAAATAAGTAATAATAAGAAACGGAAATAAACAGAACACGACAGACAAATAGCACGAGAAACGAGAGAGGAAAAGACGAGCACAGCTGATGAGTTCGCGAAACTCAGCTGTTAAAATTCGAAATTCAGCGAACTCCTATTCGGCATGCTGTCGTATGCTGAACACCCGTTAAAAGGCAGTTACGGTCAGAAACCGAATGTATCCCAGCCTGTATGTGCCCATGCGGGTACCCGCTCTTTGATTGATCTGGAAACTATGAATTGGTAGTTTCCCGTCTTCTAAACATTAAAATATTATAATTTAGACTAAAAAGAATTTTATGATCCATAAAAACTACCGGAAATGAGTTCCAGTAGTTTGGAATAAGTGAATTTAGTACTGTATTTACGCACCGGAAATTGTGCCTGTCGTCAGGCAACCGCTGTTGAATGATGCTTACGTGACTTTACGGTTTGTGCAGTCCTATCGAGCACATGGCCGGCGAAATTTTGCAAGTTAAAATTTTCGGGTTCGCCACTTTAGTATTTTAAGCCTTGGAATTTACATTGTATATGGGATCGTTGCCCATTTCCCTTCGTTTCACGATGTCTCGCGAACACTCGCCCGAATTTCCGGAGCGAGCACCTGCTCCTACTCCGCCGGTTGTTATCATTCCGACGAGAGAGCAGCGTGCTCTGGGTATTCACTTGCGTACGGAGCATCCTTTTGGATACAGACCAGGATCTTCCGCAGATCTCCAGTCAGGACGCGTTACCCGATCGCATGCGAATCCGACATCTTTCGGTCCACGGGATACTGTAGCAGCCAATGCAGCTGACTGTCAGCCGTCTACATCGGCCGCTGAAGAGCGTCAGGCTGTAGTTCGTGGAAATGCACGGCGCGGATCTTTTACCGCCACACCGGAACAGACGTACTGGCGTAATGCGCAGCCGTCTTCATCCAGTTCTAACAGCAGTACGCCGCCTGCCAAGATCAACCTGCGTATTCGTCTGGTGGGAGAAGTACACTTTTCTGAGACAAGCGACTCGGAAGGCGAGGCTGCAGGTAGAATCTTTTAAGATCAGATTAAAATTTCCGGTAGTTACGCGTTCCATATTCTCTGGTAGCAACATTAAAATCTTAGCTATTTTACGATTTTATTTTTATTTTACGACATGGCATACCTCGGGTGTCTTTAAAAGTTAGAATATTTAAGTGTTTAAGATAGCGCATTGGTTCTGTAGCGAAACCACTACCGCGCCCGATCCGTCCTGGGTTTGCACGACGTACTGGTGTGCCTGAACGACCAGTTGTGCGTAGCCGCAATCCTGTTTTGAACGCTGTTGGTATTGGTCGCGAGGACACGGACACGGAACCCTCGTCGGTCGACACTGTGATTCAGAAATTCCCGGACTTGGCCGTGGCAAAACAGAGGGATGATGCAGTGATTACTGCAGCGTATCACTCATCGGTGGCCAAAGATGGTGAGCACTACGACCGCCTCTGGCTTTCCAAGTTTTTATTTATTGATGGCAAAATTATGAATCGGTTTGATCTGTGGAAATTCACAACTAAACTCCCCGTTGAAATTGCTTATGAATTGAGGAGGCAATACATATATTTGAATCCTGCCTTTGTTGTTGTTTTAAAAGATTTGGAGAAGCAGCACGCGGACGCGGCCGCTGACAGAGAGAAAGCCGTAGAGTCTGTACTGGAGAATGAGACCGGAAGTGCTGAGGATTCGGGCGCCGAAGCCGATGGTGAAAAGTCTGACGTGGAAGATACCATTGATGCGAACACCAGTGGTACGACGGGCACATCGGATACTTCAGACACAAGTATGGAGACTCGCGCCGAATGGGAGCGACTGCAGCGCGCCCATGCTCAGCGCAAAGTCCGTTTCAATTTGATCGGTAGCATGAAACGCAAGTTTGAAGAAATGGAGGCGGAAGACGGCAATGAACATCAGCCAACGACTTCTGCACTGAGTTTGTATCAGCCGGAAACAGCTGTTGTCAACGTTGTCAAGCCAGTGAAATTAACTGATGATGAACATGAACCGGGCACTGAAACGGAAAATGAGTTGATGGAGTTTGAAGAGTCATTAATTCACTGGAGTGACGACGAGAAGGCGCCGATTCCAGACTTGGAGTATCCGCCTGTAATTCCGAAGCCATCAGCGGCAGAAATCGCGATGGACGAAGCGGATATCGCGGATTTAGTGGCTATCGTGGACGCGGCGCAGCCAGACAATGATGAGCTGCCAGATTTTGACATGGAAGAGCTGGAAAAATTGGAAACGGAGCAGCATGACGACAATGCAGATGGAAGTATCCAACAGCCTATCGCTGCCGCTGTGCAACAGGAATTGGTTGCCGTCGAAGCTGTGCATGTTTCGGCGTCTGTGCCAGTTGAAGTTGTTTTGGTGCAGCCAGCAGCTGTTGACATAGCTCCACAGGCAGAAGAACCGCATTCTGCAGAACTGGAAGTTGGACAGCCGACGCCGGCGCCGAGCTCCATTGTCGACAACAAGGGGATGTTTCCGTTGAATCCCTTTGTGCCGTCAATCTTCATTAAAGTTTAATTCGGGCACAGTTGTTATTATTATTTTTTTCATTCGTGCTAGCTTTGTTGTTCATTATGCGCATCTTTTATTCAGTTTTGCGGGGTTCTTATTATTTGTAGAACTGCTGCGTTGTTCACAGTCTCGCTTGTCTTTTTGGATCTGTGTGGAGTTCAATAATTTTATTTTCAGTAGAATTTTATTTTTGAAGTCGCCGATCGTTGATCTTTTGTTAGTCGTGTGCCTGGTCTAATATTTTATCATGCGGAAGTAAAATGTAGTCGCTCGTGACGTAACCGATTTTGGGAATTAAAAGAGCTTTAGAGACGCGCTCTGATTGGTCGAACTGTTCAGGAAGTTTCCACAGTTACCGGCGTAATGCAAATTCAGAATTCGGCAGGTATATAAGCATGCCACGTGCGGTAAAATTTTCAGTGCATTTTTCATTTCCTCCTTTGCACTTTTTACGTTGCTGCGCCATACCGGTGTATCGTTACAGTTTTGCCGAGTAAACTATTACTCTTTTCGTTTCTTCTGAGTGTAAGGTCACTGTAGTTGCGTGTGTGTGATGTAATGCCGCCCATTGATCCGAATCGAGCTTTCGAAAAGCTGGTGGACGCAGTTTTTCAAACATCACAGTTAAATCAGCAGCAACAACAGTATGGATACGGATTTCGTGGAGGGAGCCACCGTGGCGGTTTCCGTGGCGGATTTCGCGCGCGTCGCCCTAACCATGTGCGAGTGTACAGAGGCGAAAATCTCCGTCGTGACGCACCTGCTTGGCAGCGTGGAAGCCGACCCCTGGGGCAACAGATGCCTGTTGAGGCTCCTGCTGGACCTAACGATTCAGTTGTCCGCGTGGCGCATCCCGGCCTCCCTATGGAGATCGATGCCCAGGACCTTGCGAAGTCGATTCCACCGCCTGAAAACCAGCATCACGGACCTGTGGTCGCGGCTGTCCCCGTTGCTCCTAATGCTGATCAGCATCTACCAGGTTCGGTTGCAATCGTAAACTCTGTTGCGCCTGTGAATTCTGTTGTAGCGCCTGCGCCAGTCGTTGTTTCCGTTGTGAATGCGCAGCCAGTGCAACCAGTGCAGTATCCGGGTTTGCCGCCTGGCGTAGAATCGTTTGCCGTACCAGCGAGTGCTCCTGTGCGTGATCGCTCCGCATCGCGTGACCGTGTGGGCAAGCCAAGCCATGATTTTGTGCCGAATTTCGTCGCAGACCAGGACATTCTTCAGAAGAGTTTGCGTGAGTCAGAGATGGAGAAGCGTCGCCTGATGGCCGTGGAAGTGAGCAAGCGTCTGGATGCAGCTTCCAGTAATTCTGGCCAAACCGGATTATTTTCATTGGCGCCCTCTGCTGGCAAGTAACCTTCAGTGTCCTTGTGTTAATTGTTGTGACCTGATGCGCATTTGAATTTCTCTTGTTGATCTGATCTTGTTGATTTGTTGCATTACTGTGATTTGATTTTCTTATTATTTTTATTTTTGCCTTTTTTGTTTCCTTTTACTAGTGTAAATGGGCCAGTTGCAGTTCATGTTGCACAGTGCCATGTGTAATTTGTCGTTGTGTGTTATCTGTGTAAACGAAAATCCGGGTCAGACCGTCGTCCCGGTGAAGGATTAACCACGTACAGCCTACCTCAGGGACCCTAAAGTAATGAAAAGTAAAATCCAAAAAAATCAATAAAAATCAGAAAAGGTCGTGTGGTTTTCCCTTCGCTTGTACATGTAGGAAATCAGAATTAAATCACGAAAATACGAACTAAACTGGAAATAAAGCTAGTGCATAGCACGACTACCACACAACGCCAGTTACGTTTGGATTGTACAGTTTTCGGCCTAACAACAGAGTACAGTGTATCGTGCACAGTCGAGTGGCACTTGACGTTAAAACTTCGAATTTTTCATTTCATTTTAAGTTGGTGATTGCAGCCGTGGTGTGTAGAACACGGTATAATTTTGTTGGTTTATTTGCACTATCGTGTACAATGGCAGACCGGAAGCGATCTGTCTCGTTCTTTCAACGGTATACGGCTGAGACGGATGACAAGCGTATACGTGCAGCGATATCGTTGGAATCCGTGCATAAGATCCCAGTTGGAGGATATGCACAGCGCCGTGGATCTTTGGCCTCCACACAGTTTAGTTTGCCACCATCGTCGCCAACATCTTCGACTCGAACGCTGTCTGTTTCATCAGTGTTCTCAGTGCCAGAATTGGGATACACATATACCCAACCAGAAGAACCGAACCAACAGATGATTCGTGCTGCGCAGCTAATGAATAGAGCTCTGGATTTGGTTGAGACAGTGCAGCCGAAGGATCGCCTGGCTTCCAAAGCGTTTATCCGTCAGAATTTCAGTGTGCAGCGCTGGACGAAAATCGCACCGTTGTTATTTGGTAATGGAGCAGTTCTTGGAAGTAAGCGTAGAGTACAGGATGAGCATCTGGAACCACATTCTGCTCCACCGATTGTGAAGCAGGGCTATCCTGTATTCCATCAGCAGAAATTGTCACCTCTGAAAGAAACAAACATGGGAGGATCTCCGTCCAGTAGCAGCTCTGAGAATAAGCCGCGAAAATTCTATATTGACGTAGAGCCGTTTACTGATTGATTTGGTCTAATCTAGATGTGTTCGTGTTTTCGCGTTGCCGCTTATCAGTTAAGTCTGAAGTGTTCACGGTGTCTTACTTTAATTTTAACGAACGGATGAGAATTGTTTGAAAAGTTGGAAGATATTGGATATGTTGGAGTATTAGAATTAAAATATCAGTCTGCACAATTATCCGCCTAAGGAATAAATGTCAGCATTTTCGGCTTTTCTGATGGTTCTTATAGTTCTTATTATTTAGTACTTTTTCGACAGTTGTCATTTTTATTCCACGACCACTTAATTGTAAAGCATTACAGACGTGCGTATAATCATTAAAACTTCAGTGGAAGTCGTCGTTCAGTCTTTATTTATCTTTTACCCAGCAGCACAATTTAAATTTTATACATTTTAACACGCGTTAATAAAGCCTTGTGCCAATCAATATATTGTACAGCATAACATCACAATAAAAACGGCACAGTAGTTGGTAGTAGTAGATTTCAGCCTCCTTGGATCCTGGATCTCCGCCTCGCCAATCCCATGGACTTCCGGATGCCATCGACGCTAGGATCCTACACTAACACTAACTACGGATCAGGCGTACAGTCATTGGGCATCGGATGGACATGCGTGGATTGTGTCGGAGTGCGAGAGATGGATCAGGATGGAGTGTTACACAATCACACGGGATGGACTGGATGGATTAGTTTATGTTTGCGGGAGCAAAAAATCGTTTGTGGGGGTGACGTGTGGAGGAGTACGTACGAGGGATTCCACCGTGCATCCACTGACTGTCCGCCTCTACCTGCAAGTACAACCGGAAGTGGTTATCGTTCCATCTAGTCTGTGATTCGTTACTCGTTATGGCTTAGCGATGTATTCTGATGTACGGCATTTCTAGTCTATATAAGCTTGAGTTATTCCTAATATTGGAGCGGTCTCGGATCAGTCTTGGATTTCAGACTTTGAGACTACTTACTTTCAACTTCCCTGTGTTGTGCATATGATTGTGTGTTAGCGGAGTAAAGCATTTTCTGTGTTATCGACGTTCATAATTAGATACGGATTATAGCGTGGTAATCACGGTATGCTCGTGCTTCGTGGACCCTCATGTGTATCGACCGGAAGTTAGGAGTATTCAGCACAATTGCTGAGGGATTCCTGATTTTACGTGTTCCAGAATTATCCATTTCCGTCCGATTTACTGTAACAGTTGATTTAAGAGTTGTTCTACCGACTGGGCATTAAGGCAGGGAGCAGATCTACAATCCGTTTCGTACAGGGCATCCACCGGATATACCGTACCGAACTGACTGTCATTAGCAGGATCGAGCAATACGACAGTATCGTGCTTTCAAGAGAAAAGATAAAAAACACAAGATATTCACACGGCAAAGTCCAAAATCAAGTCATCTGGTATTTTCTAGATGCAGTTACAGTTACCAATAAAATGGTTTGGTTGGTAATGGTTTTGCAAAATTTCTGAAGCCGGCAAATTTCATGTGTCTTCAGCAAATATGGGCACAATTTTCCATAGCGAATGCGAAAGATTGCGGATTTCTCTGTTATTCGTGTTGTGTTATCTTGCAAAGATAGTGTTATTTGAAAAAGCGGATACTCTGTTTACACTAAATAGACTTCGAGCACCTTCCTTTCTCACTAGTAGAAGCACGCACCGTGCAATATAAACACATCTGAAACTGCTGTTGATATTTTGCACATATAGGCGCAAAGTTGATCTGGAATGCTGGTTACCATTGTTAGTGAAAATTACTGAAAGCTAAGTTAGCCGGCAGGTAGACTTTGAAAACTTTCTTTCATCTTCTTACCGAGATGGGGAACAATGCGAGCTCTGCTACCAAAACGGTTGCTCCAGTCAGCGGAATTATCAGTAGCGATTCAGCCGAAACAGTTAAAGATGCCGCCGCACCGGAGATCATTGGCTGCAGTATGCAGTACCGCTACACACACGCTGACTACATTGGCAAAGGGGCTTTTGGCATTGTTTACAGAGCCGAAGTGACGCATCCCGGCAGTTACAAGGGAGAGCATGTTGTCGCTGTCAAAGTGATACAACCTAAAGCTGCAGATAGGGAAGACAGCTGGAAGGATGCTTTGGCAAGATTGAGAAAACTCGTTGAACTGTCCAACAAACATCTGGTGGCTTACTATAAAATTTCCATCTTCACCGCTCCCGGAGGAGTGACTGTGGAGCTGGCAATGGAGCACTTCAAAGGTGACGTTATTCTGTGATAGTGTGGCGATAAAAATGTGAATGTGCCGCCAGTAGGAGTGTTAATTGCCTTTCTCTAGTGTAACATGGTTATTGTGATTCGAGTCCGCTAGCTGTGATAGGTGCTTGCCTTAATGGCGATGCGCTGTTTTATGTGTCGTCTTCTGTTGTTGCAGGTGACCAAGTGCTAAGTTCTGTTCATTATTAGGGCTGTAATGATCATTAGTTGTGCAATGCATTAGTGCAATATTAATAGCGTCATTTCTTGTGGCTTCGGCTAGTTTGTTTGCTATATAATGGTAGGGTATTGATGTGTATGTATAAGAGGACTTCTGTATACATCTTCGGTAGCGCATTCACCATTACCAGTGCCAGACTGGAAACCATATATGTATCTAAGTATCTTTATGTATAAAGTCGAGCAAATTTAGAACGCTCGTCAATTCGTCAAGCTGTCGGCCGTGTGGTACAGTGCTTGTGCGTTTACATCGCCTCATATGTAGTTATCACTTGCCAGTACTTAGAAACTCCTCACAAACAATAAACAGTCATTGAGAATTCCTGTTATGCAGCATTTCCATACGAAACAAATGGTAGGTGGCAAAACAGAATACAAGGTAGCCAGGATTCAAGGTAATACCTTGCGAGCGCTTGCAATGGTCTTCCAGCGCCCAAAGCTGGTATCTTATACTGCTAAGGTTGCTGCCTGCGGTAGGACATGCGTAGTTGTTGACGGGCTCTTGAATGGAGACAGCTGCGAGCCAAACCATATAGTAAAAATTATCCCCGTCGTATTTGAAACTCCCAGAGTCGATTAGATTTTGAAGCTCTTTGCCCTCGAGTTTTTTTATAAGGCGTGTGCATTTTTCTTTAGGAGACCTGGCCTCCTTTCTGAAGGAAGCTATGGGAACTGAAGGTCTACTACTGAAGCGGTATTCAAACAGAAAGATTATTAAGTTCACACTCCACATCGCTCGTGGACTGGAGTTCCTACATCGAAATGGCATAATTCATGGAGATTTAAAACCTAAAAACATCCTAGTTAAAGTCGTGAGAGACGAGCGGGAAAGGCTCCAGATCGGCGATTTAGACGATTTAGTTCAAATGCGTGAAAACGTTACTTGTTCCGGAGACATGTCACGGATCCGCGGCACAACCCGCTACATGTCACCCGAAATGCTAAGAAAATTTTGCCCAATAGCGACAGAACCACCAGGAAGGAAAACAGATATTTGGAGTCTAGGCTGCATCATTCTGGAAATGGCTGAGTGCCTTAATGGGGTAGTCACAAAGCTACTGGTCAAAGACAAGGAGATTCTAGAAGCTGGAAACAGGATTTCAAATAAGCAGTATGACATTCTAATCATCGACGGTTTCGTGCCATTCGTGGGCGACGACATCGAGGACAAGATGGCGTGGCTTATCCGACAATGTCTGCATCCAGTCAGCAAAAACAGAATGTCGGCAGAAGAAATAGTTCATGGTATAAAGCAACAGAAAAAGCAAGTTATAGTGCTTTTTCCCCAAGAAGGCCATACCATGGAAAATTGTCTTATATTTGAACCGTTTTCTGGCTCTCTTGATATTCAGAATTTACTCAGCCCACCATCAGCAGTGGGTGAATTTCATGCCATCTTGGAAGGGGAAAAATCAGAAATTGTGTTGGTACAACGAGAAAAGGTTGGTACGGTCGCAAACCATGTGTTTCACATCTGGAACTTGATGGAAAGGAAATGGCGCAAGACAGCACCGTCGCTGAGATGTGAGGCTGAAATACGGTATACAAAATTTATTCGGAACAAAATTTATTTTTTGGACGAGAAAGGACATTTTGCGGAAGCCGACGCTTCTACCGGTCGCGCAGTATCTCTGGAAACTCCTCCGGAAAATTGTCGGTAAGTTGGACTGCTGATTCTTGTGTTCAACAAATATTGCCAATTATCAATTAAAGAGTGCTCCTAATTTGAAGCGAATCTCGTTGCGATACAGCAAAATCTTCCTCTGGAGGTGGCTTGGCGAACCGGTATCTGTGGGCGTGGCCTGCCACTGCACACAGCTACTTCGTGCGGTTGAGCAACCGTATCAAAGCTAGATTCGCTTGAAATTTAGGCCCTCCCTTAGTGACCCCAGCAAAACTCTTCTGTTGCAGTTTTCAAGTACCCGTTCAAGTGACCAAATGTGGCCAGTGCATATTTTATGCTACAGCAAGACACTTGTGTCAGTATGACACTGTGAATAAAGATTGGAGGTCCCTACCGGATTTGCCGGAGACTAGAACGTCATTTGCAATGGCTGCGATAAACGGATACGTATACATTTTAGGCGGGATGTTCGTTGAAAGGGTAGACAAAATTCGTCAGTTTATTAGGACAGCTGACTGCATTCGTCTGAACGTGCGCGCTGGTGCACCCGCATGGGAGAAGATAGAGCCACTCCCGCAACCGAGGATGAAGCATTCCGCTTGCGTAGTCAACGATAGGATATACGTCTGCGCTGCTTCAGAGATAAACGTTAAGGATGCGCTCGCAATGCAGTTTTACGACACAAAAAGCGACGCGGGATGGTGTTCCGTTAACTTTTCGGAAAAGGATATCCAGTTGTTTTCGAATTTTGTGGCAAAGATAAACGCGCCGTGTAGATTTTTATCGGCATTGTCAATTAATGTGGATAGCGATTTTGTGCTAGATTTTCCCGGTTGAATGTCAATTATTTTCTCAACAAGCAGTCGATTTCCGAAAATGTCTCGAAATGTTATTCTCGTGACAAAGAGGCTTAAACGTAGAGTAAATTCATTGGGTAGGCGATAAGGATTTCTGAATACCTGGTTATACGTATTTCATATAGCATGCTACCGAAGAGTCAGTGTAAACTGGATGGTAAATTGATAATACAGTACGAGTATTTCAGCACCTTTTAACATGAGCATGGTAGCACCAACAAAGGAACTGCGGCTTGAGGCAGTGGTGCGCTCGCAAATACGCTGCACAGTGCACACACACGTGTGTGTTGCTGCGGTTGCAACTTTAACAAACGCTTGCACTTAGAGTAATAATAACTGTAGATCTATAGCGGTCAGATGTTACCTTTCTGTGATTTATTGTTTCATTTACTAAATGGAACAGGTGTCCTTTCTGGGCAATGACGCATCGCAAACTCCACATACCGACCACGACCAATCGATAGAACAGTTTTTCTCTCTACTATGTTACGAGAAATGCTGGATAGTAAAATTTGATGGTCTAACTACAAAGAAGACAGGAACAAACAGTACTGACAGCCGACAGGGTGAACGTAGTACTCGATGCGGTAATTTTTCATTATAGAAAACATAAAATTGCCGAACGATCGACATTATCCGTGCACGAGTATTTAATACGGTTGTTCCTAACTTGTCACGACTTCATATAAAATTTTGTTGCCTCAGTGCGGCCCCGGGTCCAAGAAATAAAATCAGACAGGTTAGTTTTTCATTCAACCGACAGCAAAACGTTAAATAAGATTAGTACAACTTTAAAGAAAACGAAAAATTACCCGCTACATCACAGAAATCAGCTTCAATGGTACAGTGGTTGCCTTATTCGAAGTAAGTAATCGGACTCGTTGCGCTAGCGTCCTTGAAGCGCAACAGATCGTAATTATCGTGGTAATTGCGGTATGTTTGGCCGATCTTGGCATGGATGAATTTGGCGTTTTTACCCGCTCCAACGCGGATCTGAAATTGCGCAACAAAAACCACCAGCAACCATAGTTATTAAATTAGTTCTTACGGTTTGGGAAGATGCGTGTACAAAGCATAGTGAGCAAATATGCCGGACTGTACCTTGACGAAGTATATGGCGTCGTACTCCCCGTCGCACCCGCTGGCGTACGACACTGGAGTCAAACTGGTGACACGGCTGATCTTAGCCTTTTCCCTTACGGCAACCTACGCATACGCAGTGTGTAATCCACAGAGGTTACAAACGCCATAACAATTTTACAGAATACCTGTGAGGAACTTATGTCTTATTAGTGAAAGGACGGTTTAGAAAATGGATTAATTCAATTAATCCAATGGATTAATTGCATGCTTTACCCCGTATTCCCCATTGACGGTTTGTTTCACTCCTTGATCGACAGGCTTGGTTTTACTGATTGCTAGCGGTTTCTGTCGCCAGCAGCTGGCAGCAGCCCATCCGGCAAAAGCAGAGCCGATAGCCTGGAAGAAAATTAATTTGTTGACACTCAATGTTGTTCTAACCGACAAGTTGGTGCTTGGTAAAAAAACTTACAGCAGTACAAGAGGGCGAGACATTTTGCCACTGCCGGGTGTGTTGTGCGAAGTGTATGGTTGCCGATTGGAAATTGCCGAACTGAACTCAGCTGGATTGGATTTTATACCACATACGCAAGATCATGTAACACGGTGTTATTGCCGTAACCGGTAACGATTAATAATTGCTCGTGTGAGGGTGTAACAGCGAAACAAAACAGTCAAGAATTTCAGGCGCGGTAATCATATTATGTAACTAAAATGTTAGCGAATGCTAGACTGATTTCTTATGTAACAAACGAGCCTTCCCCTACGGCAGCACTATCGCGAGCGTTTTCAGAGTATGATTCCGTAAAATACCGCTGTGCAACTTGCAAGCTGCTGCTGACTACAGTACATAATAACTGTAGTCAGCAGTATATAATAATATAATAAATATAAAATAAATAATAAAATAAATATAAAATATAAATAATATAATATATAATAACTGCCGAGATAATCGGCTTTTTTTCGGTTTAATTTATTTCTGGGCAGATAATCCCCGCGGCTCATTCAGTCACACAAGGCACTAAATTTCAAGAGGTACTATAAAAGCTTTGCAGGTTGTTAGAAGGACCGAGAAGCCTTTGACAACGCCAAAAAACCAGATCTCTCAGCATAATTTACTGCAGTTGTTGATCAGCTTACAGTCCCCGTTTTAACACAGAATGGTACAAAAATGCGGCTTATTTAACACAGTCGAAATGCAACATTTGATACCGGTTTATATAATTAGGTTAATTTGTGTTGAAGATAATCCATAATACTATGCAGTTAGCTTTTTAGGTAAGCGCACTCTAGCAAAACAAAAGGGCACTGTATTGTAAGCTGGTCATAAGAACCAAAGAAGAAAAACGGTCAATATTGCGATAATCCATCCACAGTCAGGGCGACACTTTGTGTTTCCATGGACAGCTGCGATACTTCTTCGCTACGAATAAAGGTTTATCATATCAAACTGCTAAAAAATTCAAGCATTTTTTAGCAGCTACGAAACTGCGAAGTGCCCAAATTGCGGCCACATTTGCGTATCACTGCAGTTACATAGTGAATAAAGTTAACCGAAGCCTAAACTTAGGAATTTAGAATGTCTAGCTGGGGGAGCAGCATTGGTTCGTTGACTGAGAGGTGTTGATTACAGGTAGAATAATGTTTACCTTTGGGTTTAACGAGTCTCATCATTCACTCATTTCACTGTCATCGTCTGAATCGGTATCCAAACAAATGTCTTCGCTCAAGGCCACTGCCGTTAGTGTGGTCAGCTGACTCGCATCCAAACCGCCCAGCGTAGCCGGCGTCCATTTGCGACCGCGATAATGAGTGGTTAAGCGCGGATCACAACACTGATAACAATTCAGGGCCTGCAAAGTGATATTAATGTGTTACAGTAGTACTGCAAGTGTGATTCAGGCAGCATGCATCACTGCCCACATAAATGTCGGCTTGCCTTCGCAATCTGTTTTTCCGTCAGCTCACTGGGTTGGCCAGCCATGCAGCTGGCAATGGACGTCGCGAGGGCCAACCGATTCAGCGGCTTGGTCAGAATGAGGTTCTTCTCGAAGAGATCCCACAGCTCTCTCTTCAGTTCCTCGCCCTCCAGTGCGCTGAAGGTGTACTGCGCTACATGCGCCTTGAACAGGTTATCCTCCATGCTGCATTTCTTCCACACCACTTTCTCGCAAGCGGCACACAAGTCGAACGTCTCCAGTATCCCGTTGACAACATCTACGGTATAGCCCTCATACGCTGTCCAGTCGCAGTCGTAGAACACCAGTGTCGGCATCCTTCCCGGCATACGCTCAATCAGTTCGACCAAACTTGGACACCTGTCTTCGGCGACACTCGTGATAATGACCGTCTTGGTGCGGCTGCTGAGGCACTTGAGCAAGCAGTTCGCCGCCCAATAAATACCCTGAAACGCTTCCGTCGGCACACCGTAATCTGGATGGCCGTTGCGGACGTGGACATCGGGAAAGTTTCCTTCGGTGGTAAAAATACTGTCCCACAATGAACAAACACGCCGACAACGTATACGCCCAATGGAGTCCAGCGAGCGAAGCACCTCCAGCAGCAGCTCAACCGACAACGACACAGCGCTTTTCATACCGCCAGAAATCTTTCGCGGTTTTGTAGCTGCATTGCCCAGCTGGCGCTGCAGCAACTGCATGTCACAGGAGGAGAGATTCTTCAACTCCTTCTTCGCCCGGTGGTACATCTTTTCCTACGTTAAGCAACAAGACGCAGTCAGTTTCAGCTTACTCCCTGTATTGGATTTTCTCATTTTTCAACCTAGTTAACCCGGCAACGTCTGCTAGGTGGAAAAACCACCAGTAAAGTTCGCCAATTTTTACAACTCCAGGACTATTGTCATTGCCTGGGTTACATATATATTAGATAGAGCAAAGATAACCCTTAGCACAGTGAATTTTAGTTTTGTGATCAAACACACCATAAAAAACCTACAATGCTTAAAAAACACTGAAAAAATAACGTCAAGTTCTACGAAGTGTATCTAAATCGGCTGTTATGGTAAAAATTTGGAATTAAATTAGTGATAACTTCATGTGAGTATCTCACAATTTCAGTATTAAACAAAAGTCTGCAGCTCTTCTGTAAAAAACTGTGAATTTTCCAAAACAGCTGGTGGAAATTCCACCGCTTGGGCATTGGCGTAGGACAGTAGCATGCTGCCTGAACAGGCACAGTGACCAGAGCCGCACACTTCATATGATTCAGCCGTTGCACACTAACAGAGTAGCCAAACCATAACAGTGTCAGCTAACTGATCAAAATGTTAAACAAATAAGGACCTCTGAGTGCCTTTATAATAGCATAAATAGTAATAAAACATTTTTCTTATCATATCACAATATGTTTTTCGACTGCAATAGGAAAAAGAATAATAAAACGACGTTGAGATCGAAGCAACCAACCATAAATATGGCTGGCTGTGATCAGTGTTGTGCGCATGTAAACTGGCGCAGCCCAGCATGACCCTGTTGCATACTGACCGGAAATCACACATTTTTTGGATTATAAATTCAACCATGAATCTTTTCATGATGAATTAAATTGCACAAGCTAACTATTGTAAACAGCTACCACAACCAGGTTGATTCGAGTAGATCAAGTAGCCACAATGTTGTGTACAACGGAATTTGTGTGGTGTCGCACCGGCAACCACCTTACCCACACCGTGCGTATTGTATATCGTTGATGCCCAAGCGGTGGAATTTCCACCTACCCTTCAAATTTTAAACTACCGCAGCAAAAATTTTGAAAAAAATAGTATAAGTTCATTATATTATTATTATTCTATGGTATGAATTTCAACTTCGACAAAAAATTCCTTGATACCTCGGGCATTCCCGGGTTAATTAAACGCTGCTCTACACTACAATTTCCAGTATACGTTTTCCAACTCAAAAATGGAGTACGATACCCGAATTTTGCAGTTGATTAATTTACGAA